CAGCCAGGTTTCTGCTTCTGCCTCCCACAGATGTTAAAGCCATTAAAAACAAAGAAAGAAGTTCCATCGATAGATAAATGGATAGAGAAAATATGGTATATATACACAATGGGGGATTGCTCGGCCATATAAAAAAGAAGGAGATCTTGCCTTATGTGATGACATGGAGGAATCTACAGAGTGTAAGTGAAAGAAGCCAAAGAAAGACAAATACTGTATGATTTCATTTACATGTGGAATCTAAAAAACAAAACAAAAGACCAGAAACAGATCCATATATACAGAGAGCAAATTGCCAGTGGTCAGAAGGGAGGGCAGGGATCGGGAGCTACAGGCTTCTACTTGGAACGAGCAGGGATGAAAGGTACAGCAGAGGGAATATAGTAGATGGTATTATATGTAACAGCTTGCACGCCAACCACCTGTGGTGAGCACAGCACCACACAGACTATGTTGCACACCTGAAACTAACATTGCGTGTCAACTCTACTTCAATTAAAAAGATACACACAGAAAGAAGACAGACGATCACTATAGAGGTGGGCTGTGTGATCACAGCAGATGCTTACAAATACTTGCTGAATGCATGAAAATGAAGTCAATACTGGAGGTTCCTCTGGGGCATCGGGAAAGGCTTCCAGGGGACGAGCCATCTAAGTGAGGCCTGAGCACTTCTACCGGGGGGAAGGGGAAGAACGGTCCAGGCTCACGCCCACAGCCAGGGGGCAGGAAGGAAGGGCCCCGGGGAGCACGTGCAGGTAGGAAGGGGAGCCAGGGCCAGAGTGAGCAGGTGCCTGCTGGCCAAGCTGAGGAGCTTGCATGTCATCCCCACGACACAGGCTGTCAGCAGGGGAGTGGCTGCGATGGAGAGGAGGCAGTGGGAGGGGCCGAGAGAACCGGGGATCAGCCGGGCCCCCCGCAGCCCTGGCCCTCACCTGGTACACAGTGGGCAGGAACCAGCCGTTCCTCCTGCAGAGGGTGCAGATCTCGGCCACCTCCCAGGCGGCATAGTTGGAGAGGCCAAGCTCCACGAACTTGCCCTGCAGGGGAGAGGCCTTGGTCAGAACCCACTGCGGCCCAGGACACTGCAAAGGGGAGACGGGGGTGGGGACCCTGGGAGTGGGGCCTTCCCCGGCTCTGCTCTGGGACGACCCTGGTGCCTCCACTCTCCTGGAGCTCGGGGGCCCACCTCACCTCCTGGTGCAGCTGGTGGCAGGCACGCAGCGTCTCCTCCACGGGGGTGTCGTGGTCAGGGGCATGTAGGTAGAAGAGGTCCACCCGGGGGCACTGCAGCCGTTTCAGGGATGTCTCCAGCTGGGCCCGGACACTGTCAGGCTTCAGCGACTTCCCTTCCCAGGGATTGGCCTTGGTGGCGATTTTCACTTTGAGGGGAGCATGCAATGGTTACAAGGCTTATTATGTGACCCTGTCTAAATTATTTCAGTTCTCCGAGCCTCCATTCTCTAATCTGTAAAATGGGGGTATAACAACGGAACTGTCCTCCTAGCGAGATCATGAGCACTAAATATGCAAGTTCTCAATGTTCACGGCTGTTAGAATCACTAGTATTAGTCAGCGTGATAGGCCTTGCCTGGAGGCACACTTGCTCCCTCCCCTCAAGGAGCTCACAGCCTAAAGGTGATGTTACGATAAGGTAAGCGCAATAGAGAAAAGCCCCTAGTGCTAAAGGAGCCCCGAGTAGAGGAGTGTGGCCATCCTGGGAATTCTAGGGAGGGCTTCCTATGGGGATGACCCAGGAGCTGAGTCTCTAAGAATGAGTCCCAGCCAGCAGGGAAGGATGGGAAGCATATTCCAGAGCCTGGGAAGATGGAGTCACAAAGGAACACACATAGTACGTGGAGGCCCATTCCTGCAATTCGGAGTTAGAAGAGCATTGACTCCAGGTAGGGAGCAGTGGGACAGGGGGTCAAGAGAAGGGTGACAGACCTAATCGCAAATCCCATCAACCAAAGTCAGCTACGTTCACTGTGTCTGTGGTCGGGAGGGCACTCAAGGGGGCAGGCCTGGAAACAGGAAGGCAAAAGGCTGAGGCGAGAATTCTGCAGAGATACCACGGACCAACCAGGCACTGCGGGCAGAGATCAATCTGAGAGGCAGATACAAGGCAAAAGGAGCAGAAGCTGGTTATCGACCCCCCGCCCCTTCAGACTCAGAGAAGCTCGCACACCCACACCCCCACTGGGGAGCACAATCCCCATGAGAATGAAATAGTGTTCTGCCAAAGCAGCCCCGAAGGGCCATCAAGTACACCAGCTGTCTGGATTTTGTACTTTTCACACCCGGCAAAGGCAACTCAGCAGGTCAGAGGGGAGGCACATGACCGCTCGGGATGTGGGAGAGAACCAGTCCCACAGCTTCTTGTGCACATTTTCTCCATGTCACCACAATTCTCAAATCCTCTGCACTGTTGGTGTGGATTTTGCCTCAAGTCCAACCTGTGGACTTTGGCTCAATGAGTGCCTGGACTCAACGAAGGAAGCAGGGAAGGGCTGGAGGAGAAGAACCAATTCAGAAACAAAATCTCCATTATTAAGGAGGGGGCAGCAGGGTTAACTAGAAAGCGTGGGCCTGAGAGGCAGCTTCCTCCAGATCTACCAAGCTCTGAATCAAAGGAGGACCCAGGGGGGCTCCCGCACAAGAGCTGGGAAGGGCAGAAAAGCAGCAGAGTATGGTAGTAAAAATAACAGTGAACATTTACTGGGCCCCACGGATGTGGGAAACAAAAGACAAAAGAAAAAATTAAATTTCCTGACATGTCCTTGAAACAGGCAGGGGGACATTCCTCTAGGAACTCAGCTGCTTCGCTGTTAATACTTTGCTAAGGGCAAGAGGTAATCTTAGCCTGACCACTCCTCCCCTCCTTTCCCCAGGATCCTGTAAGTCTACTTTAACATATAAAAATTCCTTTGGAAACTTCCTTTATCTCTACCCCCGCAAGATACATTTGGTAATCATCCTCCAAGCGTATGTCCCACTGATACACATCTGAAGGGTCTCATGACTGAGTCTTTACTAAACAGTAATAAATGAACTTTTCCTTTTTTTTTTTTTTTTTAAGATTTATTTATTTTAGGGGCAGGAGCAGAGGCAAGAAAGAGAATCTTAAGCAGACTCTGCACTGAGCAAGGAGCCCAACATGGAGCTCAATCCCACGACCCTGAGGTCACGACCTCAAGAAACCAACCGACTTAACCAACTGCGACACCCAGGTGCCCCATGACCTTTTCCTAACAATAGCTAGCCCCCTCAAAGTCCTGGAAACCTTGTTTCCAAAATATCTTGGAGGACTGTGCTGTCCCTAACGCCCTCCCAACTTGAAAAAATATAATCAGTCACCCATCACAACCCCAGTGCTGTTCTTTCTGCTCACCGGTCCTGTACCCATACTTCGATAAAACCATCTTCTTACACCGAAGAAGTCTCAAGAATCTCAAGAATTCTTTCTTGGCGGGCAGCTCTAAACCTCATTTTCCTATATAGCCACCACGATCCAGGCACCCTCCTAGGCATTTCCAATGGCATCAGGCTGATGAGGGACAGCCCTTCCCACGAACCTACATCCTCCACCCAAGCCGCACCTGTCTACTGGCCATCCCTCCACATACCAGACACTACATTTCCAAACCTGGTCTGCACAGCTCTGCCCTCAGCCTTTGATGCCCCTTTCTCCCATTCTCTTCCCAGCAAACCACTATTGATCCTTTAAGGCCCAGCTCCAGTGTTCTCTGAGTTCTCTAGTGCCTTTCCCTGACCGCTTAATCCCCCCAAAGTGCTTCCTCTTCTGGGCTTCAACCTTCCCCATTAGACTCTAAGCTCCCTGCCGGTGGGTTGGAACCACTTTCCCTCCTATAGCCCCATAACAAACCTCCCCACTCTGCAGGTACCACCCCTGATCCCCCAGCTTGGTTTGTGACCTAGTTGCAGCTCTCTCTGGGAGCCAGGGTACTGCCAACTGAACTGAGCAAAGGCTAGGGACTGATAAAAGTCCAGGATGAGAAGAGGGTGCTCAGGGAGCCACGGGCAGTGAGGGCAATGGGGAAAGGGGCGGTTTGGGGCACCTGGCAAGGTTCGAGGGGGTACTGCATAGCTCTGGAGACCACTGCCACAGAGAGGTACCCCAAGAAAGCAAGGTGGGAAGAAGTGAAGGACTAGACCAGGCTCCGGGTAAGACTGGGGGGTGGGGTGGGGGCGGAGAAGGTTCCTGAGTTGCAACTCCCAGAGTTGACAGAAGCTCGGGAGGGGAAGGAGATCAGAACAAAGCACTGTCCGGCTGTCCGGGACGACACGTGCACGGGGCCTGAGGAGCAGGGGGGTGGTCCAAGGGGCGGTCAGCTCCCGGGAGGGGCTGAAGCCGTCGGTCCTGACCGCGGGCCGGGCCACGGCTGGGGCCGGGTGGGCGCCGCCCGGTGCACAGGTAGGTAGGTAGAGGTTACCTCTGCAGTCGCCGCCGCCCAGCCCGAGGCCCAGGCCGCCCAGGATGCTCTCGGACTGGCCGTCGCTGTACATGAAGGCCGTGTCCAGCTCCGTGTGGCCGCGCTCCAGGAAGGCGCGCACGGCCGCGGCGCTGGCGGGCGCGTCCATGCGGTGCCCCATCTCCATGGTGCCCAGCACGGTGGCGGGCCGAACCGGGGCCCCGGAGGCGGCCCGCGGCGGCGACAGCGGCCGGGACATGGCGGCGGCGGCAGCAGCGGCGCGAAGCTCAGGCGCCGGGGAAGCACGGACGCAGCGCGCAGCGCCACGGGCCACCGCGCGAGACAAGGCGCTTAGCATGAGGTCGGCGCCGGCGCCCTGGGGCTCCTCGAGTCCCGCCCACCCCGCCGCGGGGGTGGAGCCGGGAGGCGGCGAGAGAACCAGGACAGGCCGCGCGCCGCCCCACCACGCACGCTCGGTTCGCTCGCACCGTTCGCACCGCCCCCAGGGACTGTCAGCTCCGTGCGCGGCGCAGGAGGCGGAGCCACGCGGCTCAGGGACAGGGGCGGGGCGGGGCTTCGGGTCAGCTGACCGAGGCTGTGCAGACAGAACCCAGAAGCCGGGACCGGCGGCTGATGTTGAGGCGGTGAGTTGGGTTTGAGGCTAGGGGCAAGCCCGAAGGCTGCGGGTGGGACTCTGGGCGTCGCTACCACATCTTTCCAACAACCTCTTCCAGCCCCTGGACCGTCTTGGGGCTTCTGTCCCCTCCTTGGGGCGCGAGATCCGGAGACGAGGCTCTGGGCCGGGATTAAGTGGCCCCTCGGGAACATACGTCCCCCTCCTGAGCATGGTCTCTCGGACCAGCCTGGCCAGGGTTTGGGGTCTGGGTCCTCTTTTCACCTTCTGGTTCTGGGGGACGGGCCCCATCGTTTCCAACGGCTTTGTTTTCCCCAGGGCAGGCAGGGGAGGGGGCCTCGCGGCGTTTGAGCGCTGACCCCAGCAGCTGCCCTGTCATTATCCCCGACAAACAGGCGGCCCGCGCTGGCCTTAGTCACCAGGCGGCCAAGGACCTGGAGGCCTGGAGCTGGTGGTAGTCACCAGCGGGGACTCCCCTCCCTTCCACATACGCCGAGGTTCTGCTGCGAATCCCAGATTGCCCTCTCCCCTCCTCAGGCCTGGGACAAGTTTTGAAGTGTGTACATGGGGAGGCTGGGTTTGGAAGTGTGAGGACTGGCTTGGGTCTTGTCCGTGCAACACTTAACCGAAAGCTGCTTTGCGCCAAGGACTGGGGGGAGGGTGGTGGAGGGACACACTACAACCAAAGCAGAGTAATAAGTGATCCCTGGCTATTATTGCTGAGTGTTTAATCTCTGCCAGGCACCCTTCTAATCCATTGGCCTGGATTATGTCATTTAATTCTGCAGTCGGTCTAGGAGGTGGATATTTACCCATTGTACAGATTGGAATTCTGAGGCTCAGTCACTTGCTCTGGAATTCTATACTTGTGGGCATTAAGCAGGTCAGTTCCAGAGTGCTCTCTCCTCAAACTTAGGTCATCTGAGCTCACAGCTAGTTTCCTTCCTTCCCTCCCTTTCCTCTCTGTCTCCCTCTTTCTCTGTCTCCTCTCTTCCTCAGCACTGTCTGAACCTTTACTGTGCAGCTGGCGTCTGGCCCCAAGAGTCAGTCACGGCTAGGGTGAAGGGAGAGGTGTGGGCTTGAGGAGCAGGAGTAGCTGAGGACTGTGATAAGCATTCTTCAGATATGTGAAGGGGAAGGGAAGAGGTGACAGGTATCATCCAGCCAGCCTTTGCAAGGCGTCTTTGAGATGGCACGTTAGAACCCTGTCTCCTTACCAGGCCCTCCAGAGGGAGAAGGACACACTCCTAAGGGAAGAGACTATACGTGCAGAAGCCTGGAGGCCTGCCGCTTCCATGGGAAGCTTCCATGGGAAGCATTTCCCTGACTCAGCTTGGGTCCAGTAGAGGAGCTTGGGTGTGGCCTGAGATGCCTTCTCCATTGTAGGCTTTCTCAAAGCCTGGCCACATGCATCAGAATCAGCTGGGGTTGCCTTTTTTTTTTTTTAAGATTTTATTTTTAAGTAATCTCTACACCCAACATGGGACTTGAACTCACAACCCTGAGATCAAGAGTCGCGTGCCTTACCGACTGAGCCAGCCAGGCACCCCTGGGGTTGCTTCTTAAACCCAAAGTCCCTGATCTGAAGTCCAGAGAGACACTGAGCCTGAATTCTGCTGCGTGGTTCCAAGGCACCCACCTTTGCTGTGGTCCTTGTCAAACCTACGGATGCAGTCAAGCTTTGTTGCAACCCTGGACATCCATCCTCGAAGTGCTGTTTGACCAGGAGGTGGGCCCATTCCCAGAAGCCAGGCCTGGGGCCCAGGCTGGCTCCCTAGCTGGGTCAGAACCTCCAGATGATGGGCCCTGTGTGCAGCGGCCCCCAGAGGAAGGCCCCTTCTGGTCGGGATTCAGGCGTGTCTCAGAGTGTCCCGGGCTGCGCATATGCCCTGTGCAAGATCAGGGACCACCCACCCCATGCTCTGGGCCCTGTGAGCCAAGATACAATCCTCCAGACACCCCCTTCCCTCACTGGGCATGTGTTCATTTCATTTCCTCCCTAACCTGGTGAAAAGGGGGCGAGAGAGTGGCCTCAGGGTGGTTGAGCTCCTGGACTCTCATCCTCACAACAGCCTCCAGCATGGTTCGGTCAGGCCCGGGGCAGAGAGCCTTCCTTATGTGCATTTCATCTGCACCGCCAACCCCAAGGAGCCAGGGTCATCATCCGCATTTTACAGACAAGGCTCAGACAGGTTCCTCACTCGGCCAAGGTGACCCAGCCTTACCTGGGAAATGGGGGCAGTCTGCCCCACCTCACAGGGAAGTTACGAGGGTGGCTGTGTATTACGGTGATGAAAGGGACGGGCACACAGAATCTGTAAGAGGGCAACCGGGGGGAGCAAAAGGACTTGCTTTTTTTTTTTTTAAGATTTTATTTATTTGACAGAGAGAGAGAGAGAGTGTGTGCACAAGCAGGGGGAGCAGCAGGGAGAGGGAGAAACTGAAGGTAGCTGGAGAGAGCCTCAGTCTGGTGAGGAAAGCCTCTGAGCACGGGACAGGAAGGGGAAGCCTACCTTCTGGCTGCTGGGGAGCTTGGGCAGTCTGCCAGACCACAGGTGGGGTGGGGGGGGGTCTGCCGCATCCAGGGACAGAAGCGCCTGAGGCAGCATGGCAGGGTGGCCAGGAGCCGGGGTTTGAGTCCCCGTCCTGGCTTTGACTCCTGCCTCTGTCGCTTCCTGGCCGGGTGCAAGTCACTTCCCTGGTTCCTTGGATGTATCAGGAGCCCCCCCAACTCCCCTTCATGGAGTTGATAGGACAGAATGAGTAAGATGCCTGCAAGGTGCTTAGCCCAGAACTGGTGACGAGCTTCGTAATCAGGGGCTATGGTGAGTCTCGCCTGGTAGAGATGGCACCATCTGGCTCTGCTTTCTCTTCCTTCTCTGGGACTGTCACACAGACCGTGACCGCTGTAATCACTGTGCAGGGTGCCCGGGCATCGGGAGGGGACTTTCCTGCCTGCTCCTGCTACCAGCCACTTTCTGGCTTTGTGGGTGGTGAGAATCGGCAGGAGGCTCCAGACTCCTCGCCAGCAGGCATCCCGCACACGCTGTTCCTGGAGAATTGTGCTTGAGTGCCGCACTTGAATCCCAGCTACCTGTGCAAGCCCTGGACCCACCTGGCCCTTATTCTCCAGGTGCCTCCTCTGACCCATGTTGGCGGGCAGTCCTACTTCAATGAGAGAATGTACTTAATGGGGCCTGGTCTCCCCGGATGTAATTTACAAAACAGGAGATCAGAAACAATGTAAACGTTGGAGGGTTGTAACAAAGTGAGCGGAGGGTTCACTGTATGAACTCATGTGACAGTCAGGACAACTATGAAGGAGGAGCTGTGATCACCCCTTTTACGGATGAGGGAACTGACGCACAGGGAGGCTGAGGCACTTGCCCAAAGTCGCAGCATTGAGGAGTGCAGCATTGAGTAGTGGCATCTACACACTTGTCCCTGACCGCAGATCGGGCCCTGTCCTTGCACAGGTCGTCTGTGTACTCGAAGCTGATTGTGCCCTTGGAGTTCAGAGGCTTGGTCCGGCCGCGTGATTAAAACTGGGGATGGGCGTAGCTGGGGGCGGGGCACAGGATCCAGACCTGCCAAGGCTAAAGGCCCCCTTCTCTTTCTCCCTGTACAACCCTCCCTGCATCCCGCAGCAGCCATGGTCTGGAAGAAACTGGGCTCCGGCAATTTCTCCGACTGCCCCAATGGCTCCCGCCAGTGGATATGGGACGTGTTTGGCGAATGTGCCCAGGACGGCTGGGACGAGGCCAGCGTGGGCCTGGGCTTGATCTCCATTGTCTGTTTTGCAGCATCCACCTTCCCGTGAGTAGTGGCCGGGGGGCGGGACCAGGACAGGGGGCGGGCTGGGGCGATGGCTTCAGGCACTGCCTGGAGGAGGGTCTGCCTGACCCGCCTTGGGCCTCTCCAGACTCAAGGCCAAATGTACTCCCACTCACTGATTTCCAGCCCACCCTGGAGGGCCCTGCCCTGGAGCCCACCCTAGGGCTCGCCTTGGCTGGGCAATGCCAACACACAGATGATAGTAACAGTATTAACCCTTAGTGCTGTTTATTCAGTGCACGCTACGTACCTCAGTTCTGAGCACTTGACATGTTTTTACCTCATTTAAGCCTCATAACCCTGTGAAATAAGTAGTTACTGTCCCTATTTATGAGGGAACAGAAAGCCAGAGAGACTAAGTCACTTGTTCTAGGTGGAATAGCTAAGAAGAAAGGAAGCAGAGGGGTGGGAGCGCTGACATGCCCCAAACACAGCCCTCGTCCTGTGGCAGTCTGGTGATGGAGTGGGCGAGCAGTGATTACAAGATGGTGTGACCACTGCTGTGATTGAGGAACGGGGACACACTGTGACCTGGGAGAGTCACTTTGCTGCTCTGTACCTCAGCTTCCTCATCTGCGAAATGGCAGTGTTGTTCCCGACCTCCCAGGGCTGCTGTGAGGATGGGACGAGGCGGTGTACGTAAAGCACGGGACTCGGGGCCTTTGCGCCATGTGGGCACAATCCCATGGCTGGACAGAGTGTGTGGGAGTCAGGGGCACGGGAGAGGTGAGGTCGAAGAGGTCACCAAGGGCCCTGTAATGTGAGGCTTCTCCACTGTTAGGAAATCGGCTCTTTATCCTGAGGGAGAAAGATAAGAGTTTAATCAGGAGCTCAACATTTTCTTAAAAATAGCTTTATGGAGAGATAGTCCACATACCGTGTAATTAGCCCATTTACATGTATAATTCAGTGTTTTTAGTGTATCTGCAGAGTCGTGTAACCAATGCCATAATCAGTTTTAGAATACTCTCATCACCCTAAAAAGACACCCCCAAAGAAATGAGTCATTCCTGATTTCCCCCGAAGCTCCCAGCCCCTGGCAACCAGCCGTCTACCTCCTGTCTCTGTGGATTTGCCAACTCTGGACATTTCCTGTAAATGGAATCATAGAGCATGTGAAAGACCAGCTTCTTTCACTTAACAGAACGACTTCAAGACTTACCTATATGCTGTAGCAGGTGTCAGGACCTCGTTCCTTTGCGCGTAACGTCCCAGTGTGTGATATGCCACCTTTTATTCATTCATTCACTGATGGATGTTTGGTCTGTTTCTACTGTGAACATTCAAGTGCAAGTTTTTGTGGGTACATATGTTTTTACTTCTCTTGGGTATATGCTTACGTAGTGAAATTGCTGGGTCATAGGGTAACTTTGTGTTTAATCTTTTTAAGGATTTTTTTTTTCTTAAGATTTATCTGACAGAGAGAGACACAGCGAGAGAGGGAACACAAGCAGGGGGAGTGGGAGAGGGAGAAGCAGGCCTCCCGCGGAGCAGGGAGCCTGATGCGGGGCTCGATCCCAGGACCCCGGGATCACAACCCGAGCCGAAGGCAGATGCTTAGTGACTGAGCCCCTTTTTTAAGGATGTTTAAAAAACATTATTAAGCCCTGGTTTCATGACTCAGCCTAACCTTAATGACGTCCTTTGGGGCCCCTGGTTTTCTTTTTCTTTTTCTTTTTCTTTTTTTCTAGATTTTATTTTTTTTTAAATAATCTCTACACCCGACATTTGGCTCAAACTCACAACCTGGAGATCGAGATCGGGAATCACGTGCTCCACAGACTGAGCCAGCCAGCTGGGCGCCCCCTTGTGGTTTTCTTTTTCACAGGGAACTGTCAGACTTTTCCAAAAAGGCTGTACCATTTTCCATTCCCTCCAGCCGTGTGTGAGGTTCCAATGTGTCCATATCCTCATCAATGCGTATTTTCTTTTTTTCTTTTTTTTTTTAAGATTTTATTTATTTATTTGACAGAGAGAGACACAGCGAGAGAGGGAACACAAGCAGGGGGAGTGGGAGAGGGAGAAGCAGGCTCCTGGCCGAGCAGGGAGCCTGATGGGGGGCTCGATCATGACCTGAGCCAAAGGCAGACGCTTAACGACTGAGCCACCCAGGCGCCCCCAATGCGTATTTTCTATGTGTATTATTATAGCCATCCTAATGGGTTGGAAGTGTTATCGTGTTGTAGTTTATGATTTGAATTTGCCTGACGGCTAGTGATGTTAAGTAGCTTTTCAGGTGATTTTTGGCCGTTTGTATATCTTCTTTGGAAAAAGGACTGTTCAGATCCTTTGCCTATTTTTCAGTTGGATTATTTGCCCTTTTGTTGTTGAGTTGTAAGAGTTCTTTTAAAGATTTTATTTATTTATTTGAGAGAGAGAGCGCGCACCAATGGGGGGGATGGGCAGAGGCAGAGGGAGAAGCAGGCTCCCTGCTGAGCAGGGAGCCCGATGCAGCGCATGATTCCAGGACCCTGGGATTGTGACCTGAGCTTAACTGACTGAGTTACCCAGGCGCCCCTGAGCTGTAAGCGTTCTTTATATATTCTGGATACGGCAGCCTCATGATCTGCAACCATTTTCTCCCCTTCTGTGGGTTCTCTTTTCACTTTCTTGATTGCATCCTTTGAAGCGCAGAAGTTCTACATTTGGATGATGTACAGTTTATCTCTTTTTTCTTTTTTGCTTGTGCTTTTGGTGTCGTATCTAAAAAAACATTGTCGCGGGGCGCCTGGGTGGCTCAGTCGTTAAGCGTCTGCCTTCAGCTCAGGTCATGGTCCCAGGGTCCTGGGATCGAGCCCCACATCGGGCTCCCTGCCCTGCGGGAAGCCTGCTTCTCCCTCTCCCACTCCCCCTGCTTGTGTTCCCTCTCTCGCTGTGTCTCTCTCTGTCCAATAAATCTTTAAAAAAATTTAAAAAAATAAAAATAAAAAAACATCGTTGCCTAATCCAAGTAACAGAGATTTTTTTTTTTTTTTTTAAAGATTTTATTTGTTTGACAGAGAGAGACACAGCGAGAGAGGGAACACAAGCAGGGGGAGTGGGAGAGGCAGAAGCAGGCTTCCCGCGGAGCAGGGAGCCCGATGCGGGGCTCGATCCCAGGACCCTGGGACCATGACTTGAGCCGAAGGCAGACGCTTAACGACTGAGCCACCCAGGCACCCCCCAAGTAACAGAGATTTACCCTGATTGTAACCGGGGTGCAGGGGCGCAAGACCATCGGGCTCTGGGGGCGGGGGGCGCCCAGCCAGATTAAGTTCAGCCACTCGCCACTGACAAAATCCAAAGGCAGAGACATGAGTGGTGGTGAAACGAGAAAGGAATTTATTTCTGTGAGGCCAACACCGGGGAAACCACAGACTGGTGTTTCCAAGACTGTCTCCCAAGTGCTGATGATACTTCCAGAATTATATAAGGAAAGCGAGGGACAATGGTCAGTGGGTACACGCAGGGGCGCGGGGAAGTCAGGTGGGTCATTGTCTTGGGCTTAGTCCCTCCGGGTCTTCCGGACGTGGGGCAGTCCTTGTTGCTTCAGCGGGTAGTTTCGGTTCCCTTCCTGGGATGCTTTGTGCACAGGGTCTTTTGCCTGAGTTAAGGGATAAGCTAGAAAGAAGAACTTAATCAATTAGAAAGTTTGAGGTCAAGGAGCGCTGGGGTGGCTTAGTCAGTTAAGCCTCCGACTCTTGATTTTGGCTCAGGTCTTGATCTCAGGGTGGTGAGTTCAAGCCCTGTGCTAGGTGCGGCGTCTACTTAAAAAAATATATATAGAACTTTGAGGTCGAAATGAAGGTAGTCAAGCTCTCTTGCATTATCTTTTTCTGTAACAGTTTCAGAGCTTTGCCTCATTCTGACACCAGTGTCCATGTGTGTTTTTTCCCACACCACCAAGCATCTAATGCCATCAGACACTATCTTCCGTGGGACGGCATCAGATCCCACAGGTGAAGGGCTCAGTCCCACAAGACTGCCCCTCCCCCTCCAGATGTCAGTCACAAGTTCAGGTTGTCACTTCTGCTTCTGATTGGTGTAGACCACTATAGACTGGAGGTCCCAACAAACCCCCTACCTGCTTTTGATTAATTTGCTAGAGCGGCTCACAAAAATCAGAGAAACATTTGACTCACAAGATCACTGGTTTATTACGAAAGGATACAGGGAACAGCCAGATGGAAGAGATGCACAGGGCAGGGGGTGCAGACAGGGGCATGGAGCTTCCGGTTCCTCTCCCAGTGTGCCATTCTCCCTGAACCTCTGCACATTCACTGGCCCAGAAGCTCTCCGAACCTGTCCATTTGAGTTCTTCTGGAGGCTTCACTGCACAGGAATGATTGATGACATCACTGGCCGTTGGCGATTGAACTCCATCTCCAGCCCCTCCCCTTCCCCAGAGGTCAGGAAAATGGGACTGAAAGTTCTAAGGGTTTAATCACATCATGGCAGCCAGCCCTCATCTTTAGGTGACCCAGAGGCTTTCCAAAAGTCACCTCATTAACTAACAAAAGGCATCTTTATTGCTCAAATCACTTAGGAAATTCCAAGAGTTTTAGGAACTTTCTGCCAGGGATGGGGTGAAGACCAAATATATGTCTGTCTGCCTTCCTTCCTTCCTGAGGGGAGAGGGAGAGAGAGAATCTTAAGCAGGCTCCAAGCCCAGCGTGGAGCCCGAAGTGGGGCTCGATCTCAGGACGCTGAGATCATGACCTGACCCAAAATCAAGACTCTGATACTTAACCAACTGAGCTACCCGGGTGCCCCTATGTTTCTTATTGTAAATCACAATATAACAAATTAGCTTTTAAATTTAGGTCTGTTAAAAAACAAAATTACCCTGATTAAATTTGAAGACACAATTGGTGTTGTTAAGCCATTCATGAATTGGGCAGCATCCCATCTAGCAAATAGAGAGATGTTCTAAGGAGTTTTATAAAATGGAAGGTTTTTATAGGAAAGAGGGTGGGGCAAGAAATTATTAGCAAAAAAAAAAGGGATTATATCAGGCAAGTTCATTTTCCTGCAGGGGGGTCTTAGTAGATGATCTCATCTTCCTTTGTGGGGGATGGCGAGGGCCCATGTGACAGATGACCTCATTGCTACTGACCAGAAAATTCCTGACCAATTAAGACTACATTCCTGGGGGAGGTTGAAATGTGATTAGGTTTGTTATTACGCCCCTGTTCGGTGATTTGGCTTAAGTGACTCCATCTTGGGCCTGTGGTTTTCTTTTTAATGGGTCTTTGATACAGTTTGAGTTATATTTTATATATGGTGTGGGGTAGGGGTCCAGTCTCATTCTTTTGTATGGAGATAACCAGTTGTCCCAGTACCATGCGTTTCAAAGACCCTTCTTTCCCCCATGGAATTATCCTAGTACCTCATTGTGGACTTGACATTTTTTTTTTTTTAAGATTTTATTTATTTATTCATGAGAGAGAGAGAGAAGCAGAGGGAGAAGCAGGCTCCCAAGGAGCAGGGAGCCCGATGTGGGACTCGATCCCAGGACCCTGGAATCATGACCTGAGCTGAAAGCAGATGCTTAATCGACTGAGCCCCGCAGGCGTCCCTGGAAATGTGTGTGTGTTTTTTTTTTAAAGATTTTATTTATTTATTCATGAGAGACAGAGAGAGAGAGAGAGAGAGGCAGAGGGAGAAGCAGGCTCCCAAGGAGCAGGGAGCCCGATGCGGGGCTCGATCCCAGGACCCTGGGATCATGACCTGAGCCGAAGGCAGACGCTTAACCGTCTGAGCCACCCAGGCGCCCGGACTTGACATTTTTATTGAATTAGCTTGTTCCTGAGGCCACAGTAGGTATGTTGAAAGTAAACAAAACAGATGCCATCCTTGCCTTTGCAGAGCTTCCATTCCAGCTACCTTTAAAAGGCAGTCAGGGAGTCACAGGGAAGAAGGACTGGCAGGACAGGGAGTGAGACTGGAGGCAGGGAGGCCACCTTGGAGGCCATGGAAGCCATCCAGCAAGGAGCGATATCGGGGGCATTGGAGATGCCCTGTATAGGCTGACTGGACAGGTGTGGGTGACCGCTGGAGGCCGAGGGAGAGAGACGCCCTGTTCCAGAGTGAGAGCCTGCTCTAGGACTATCTGAGGAGCTGGCTGAGGCTTCCCCTTCCTGCCATGACATAATGTTGGCCCTGCGTGAGCCTGGCTGATGAACCAGTGAGGGGGGTCAGAGGCCTGGGAGAGAGCCCCAGGTGACAGCAGGAAGGGCAGCTGCCTTCCTGCTCCTCCTCAGGACTCAGCCTTTCTTGGGTGTGATAAAATCACTTTCCCTGCAATTTCATGGAGACTTGCCAAGTCACATGTCCTAGAAGGGGCTTTAGGGACCATAGGCTAGACCTTAATTAGGGGCCTCCCTGGTGCCAGGCCTGAGCTGGACACTATCCCTGCCCTCAGGAGGCTTGAGTCCAGGAGGGACAAGGATGTCCTGTGTTACAAAGGAGGAAGTAGAGGACACTGGCACGCTGTGTCCAGGAAGGCCATGGGGAGGAAGTGACGTTTCCTGAGCCATGAAAGACAAAGAGGAGGGAGTGGGCTGGCTGCCTGCCAATGAAGAGACTGGAGAAAGGGAAATAAGTCCTGGTGGAGGGGGCAGGGCCGAGGGATAGCTGGCCCTGGGGGCCTCCCCAAATAGCAGGGGAAGGCTCCGAATGCTTGTGGGGAGCCTGGGGTTTTAAAAAGATCCTTCAGAGGGAGCAGAGTCAAGGGGAACCAGGCTTGGATAGGAGACAGGCGTGTGGACGGGGTGTTTGTGCAAGGGGGTGTCTTCACAGGAGGAGGAGAAGGAAGTTTGGCCATGGGAAGATCAGGGCCATACCTGGCTTTCTCAGTTTCTGACTTGGGTGTTGTGGGGGATGAGGTGCCATTTAGTCCCCTTTTATTTAAAAACACACAGACGAGGGGCACCCGGGTGGCTCAAGCGGTTAAGCAGCCCACTCTTGGTTTCAGCTCAGGTCATGGTCTTGGTTGTGAGATCGAGCCCTGAATCAGGCTCTGTGCTCAGTACTGACTCTGCTTGGGATTCTCTCTCTCTCTCTCTCTCCCTCCCTCTCTCCCTCCCTCCCTCTGCCCCTCCCCCTGCTCATGCTCTAGCTCTCTCTCAAATAAATAAATCTTTAAAAAAGTTAAAAAAGATTCTTTCTCTCCCTCTGCCCTCCCCCGCTCTCTCTCTCTCTCAAAATAATAATAATAAATAAATATGCAGAGGATTAAACAGAAAAAGAGTAAATGGCAGTTGCGTGAAGGTTCGGAGGGACTGGAGAGGGAGGGGCTGGGTCTGTCGGGCTGTAATTCTGGTTCCAAGCCTCCCTGTGACCTGACTGGCCCAGGGCGTTCTGCAGGACCGAAAGAGTTAATATGCACAAAGGGCTCAGAACTCTGCCTGAGGCCTGTTACCTGTGGCCTGTTGTCAGCACTGAGCTCATGCTGACACTTGGCCTTTGAGAAAACAACCAGAATATCCAAAGCCACAAGCCATGGGGCTCTCGGGGGGGCCATCCCGCCCTGCCCCATTGCCCTTTGAAGGTCACTGTGGTTTGGCCCATCTTATCATCATCATCAACCGCTCCTGGCTCCCTGCCACCACCACTGTCCTTTCACCCCCCCCCCTCCGCTTCCCCTCAACTGAAGAAAGAATGCAGGGTCCCTGTGACGTGGTTCTCTTCGTGGAGCACGGCGGGGGCTGGGGGGTGGGGTGACACAAACTCCAGGTCCCCACTGGGAGACTCTAGGGTGCTCTGGAGGGGAATCTGAGCAATGCTATGGATGACTCTGGAAAGATGCACCTGCCGTAGAGTTCCCTGGTTGGAAGAGAATCCGCTGGTAAGAACCCCCAAAGGGCACCGAAAGGTCCTGCGGCTCCCGCCTGCCGGCAGCATGGGCTCACAGGCGACTTCCCTGCTTCCCCGGCCCGGGCCCCCTCCTGCCCTGAGCCCGCGTCTTCTTCCTCCTTGGCGGCAGCCAGTACATCAAGGCCTGCAGGACAGGCAACATGGACCAGGCGCTGTCTCTGTGGTTCCTTTTGGGCTGGATCGGAGGAGACTCCTGCAACCTCATTGGCTCCTTCCTCGCTGACCAGCTGCCCCTGCAGGTGGGTCAGACCAGGGGTGGGGCGGGCCACCGAGGACGGCCACGGCAGAGGGAGGGCCCCACACTGGAGAGAGCGCCCTCCGCCCCGCCGTGCAGCGTGACAGGCAGCTGGTCGGTACCCTTCTCCGGGCCTCAGTTTCCCCATCTGCGAAACGAGCACGTCAAACCAGAGGATGGCTCTGGGGTGCCGAGGTCCTGACTGAGCTGCCAGGGTGTGGGGCCACAGAGGAGGAAAGGTTTCCCTTGGGGGGAGCCGGGGGTGGGGGTGGCAGGTGCCAGGAATCCCAGCCAGGAGTCCATCGTCTTCCCCAGCGGGACGGTACCGTCGTCGCGGCTCCTGTGCCCGGCCACGCCGGAGCCCTCCCTTAACCGCTGAGTGCCCCTCTGTCCCGGCGAGGTGCACCCGCCCCCTGTCCTCCCTCTGTCCCGGGGGGCCCGCTGCCGGCCTGCTCTCGAGTTCTGCCGGCTGGACGCCGATGAGACCGGAGGGCAGGGGGTGAAGTGGGTCGGTTGGGCCGCGCCTCTCTTGCAGAGCTACACGGCGGCGTACTACGTGCTGGCCGACCTGCTGATGCTGGCCCTCTACTTTCACTACAAGTTTAAGAAGCGCCCCTCTCTGCGTGAGTGTGGGGAGAGGGGCGGCGGGAGGCCCGGGAGCGTGGGAGGCAGTGGGCTTCGCACCGCAGCGTCCGGCCCACACCGCCGAGCCTGCGCCCGCAGCCCCGGGCGACCGGGACGGGGGCCGGACCACGGGGGCTGCTCTTTCTTCCCTTGGGTCGCATCCCACAATCGTGGCTTCAGCTGTTCCTCTGTACCTGGCCCTGGGCTTGGACACAGGTCACCGCTGCCCCTGAGGATTGAGGAGGGGCGGGAGTCAAGGTCAGAGGGAGGTACTTGTCTGCTCTGGGTGACCCCCTCCTGCCCTTGTCTCTCCTTTACAACCCTAGGAGAAGGGTGCTATTATTACACCCATTCTACAGAGGAGGCATTAAAGCTCAGAGAGGTCAGGTTCCTTGCCCAGAGTCACACAGCCGCCAAAGGGCAAGGCCAGGACTCAAGGCCTGGTCTGTTTGCTGCCACTGGTACCTGACCTCGGCTTCCCTCCTGTCTCCTGTCCAGGGTCTACCCCCATCAATTCCGTGCTGCTCTTCATCCTGGGGGTGCTGTGTGCCTTCCCGCTGCTGAGGACCGCTGGCCCGGTGGCTGCCCCGAGGGAGGTCTTCCGGGGCCGCACGCTCCTGTCAGTGGAGCCGGGCAGTAAGGTGCGGTGTGGGTCAGTGCCGGGGGGTGCGGGCTGGGGACCGGCCCGTCCCGAGGGAGCGGGGATCGCGCGCTGCACCTCTGGCCCCTCCCGGGCCCTGAGCAGCCCCCTGCCCTCTCAGCCCTTCACTCGGCAGGAGATCATCGGCTTCGCCATCGGCTCCGTCTCCAGTGCGCTCTACCTGCTGTCCCGGCTGCCTCAGATCCGCACCAACGTGAGCCCGGGGCAGGGGCGGGGCCGCCGGGGCAAGGGGCGGGGTCTTTGGGCAGCAGGTGTGGCTTCAGACCGCCGGTCCGGTCGGCTTAAGTGAATCCAGTTCTCCAGGCCTCAGTTTCTGCCCCTGGGCAGTGGGCCGATGAGGCCGGCTCGAGGGACACGGGTGTCCCGTGTGTGTCTCAGAGAAGCAGCGGGTCAGGTGAGGAGGCCGGGCCCGGCCCACAGTGCTGAGGGATGGGGAGAAAGGGGCGCGGTGGGCCCGGGGAGGCTGGCGGGGCGGCCCGTCTCCCGCGGACCGGGCGCTCGGTGACCAACGCGCTCAGGGCGTGCCCCGTGGACGGGGCAGCGTGACAGGAACCCTGGCCGAGGCCTCTGACCCCAGCCCCCTCACCCCCAGTTCCTGAGGAAGTCAACGCAGGGCGTCTCCTACTCGCTGTTCGCCCTGGTGATGCTGGGGAACACGCTGTACGGGCTGAGCGTGCTGCTCAAAAACCCCGCGGCGGGCCAGAGCGAGGGCAGCTACCTGCTGCACCACCTGCCCTGGCTCGTGGGCAGCCTGGGCGTGCTGTTGCTCGACACCGTCGTATCCTTCGGGGGGGCGGGGCAGCCCGGCAGGGCCGGGGGCGGGGGCGGGGCAGTCCGGAGGGAGCCAGGGCCCCCAGGGGCACGGCGTCCCCGCCTCTGCTCGGTTTGGCCTTGATGTTGGCCCCTCCAGATCTCCATACAGTTCCTGGCGTACAGGGACGCGGCCACCTCCTCGGAGCGTCAGCCCCTCCTCCCCAGTTGACCCGGACCCAGGCCAAGCCCGGGACTGCGGGGCCCTCCAGATGCCGCTCCCAGGAAGGGTCAAGTGTGGGCAGACACGGTGCTGCTGACTCTGGACTGGCCGTGGAGGTGCCCGGGGGCGCCTTGAGGGCCTGGCCCAGCCGCCGCCCCCACCTCGGAAACCTCCTGGCCGACTCTTCCAGGAACCCTGACTGGCTGACTCTTCAGGGAGCGGGGAGCGAGAGGGGTGCAGGGGCCAGCCCCCCCCCCCCCCGAGTCTGAGGCTGCTGTCCTTGGGAGCCTCGAGGGAGAGGCTGCAGCGGAGACCTCGGCCCCCCCGAAGGCAGTGGGCGCCCCTCGACCCACCTCCCTCCATCTGCCCGCACACCCCCTGGAGCGGGGTGCACCTGCAGCCGGGTGTCCCCAGCGCTGTCCCGTTGACTGCAGACAGCCCAGTAAACGGTACCTCCCAGCGAGGCCTCTTTCTGTTGCTCCTTCCCCGAGGTGCTGTGGTCTGGGCTGCTCTGGGCAACAGCGGGGCACGGGGATCTGGGCCCCAGCTTCCGGGTCCCAGGTTGGGGCCTGGAGGTCGGGATATGGCAGAGCCGAGCAGGAGCAGACTGCCCAGCCTCCGGGGGGCCTCGGGTTTTCTTACCGGCTTCTCTGTAACAGACCCCACACCTGGGGGTGAGGAGGCAGCAGCGAGAATGACAGGGTCCCGGCCCCTCAGTGCTCAGGAAGAAGCAGGATAGTTAAAGGTTCAGATCTTAGTTCTGCCTCTTTGCTTCTCTGTGCCTCAGTTACCTCATCTGTGAAATGGGATGTATGTTATAAGATGGTGCAATTAGCTGAGGTTAGCCCCGAAGTCTGGCATGTGGTAAGTGCGCCATAAAGGTTCGCTTTGATAATTTTCAGTTGGAGGAGAGGCACTTCCAGATCTCCCCGCAGATCAGGGAGACCTTCCTGGAGGAGGTGACATGCAGAAGGCTGGGCAGGAGATAACTGGGGAGAAGTGGGGGGTGTGGCAGGCAGGAGGAAGGAGGTGCAAGAGCAGTGGGAAGGGAGGAGAAGAGGGCAGGGCTCAGCCCTGAGTTCCAGTCCTGGGCCGCAACCTCACTTCGTCTCCCTGACCCTGTTCTGAGTCCACTTGTTGGCCATGACCCTGTGCGTGCCTGAGGGGCTGGTCAGGGAGAGAAGCTGTGGCTCAGGCTTTCTGAATCTCCTCTACCTGCCCCGGGGACGGCGGGGAGCTCGGCAGTGGGGTCTGCAGCCCGGTCTGGTGCCGCGTGGATGGGCCGAGTGCAGCCTCCACCAGCCCAGGCTGCGCTGGGCGCCGGGAGGGGGGTGACCCCAGCTCCGGTCCTTGTCCTTGTGGAGGGAAGCTGGCTGCCGGGCCCTGGGGGTAAGGGCTTTGACCAGAAGGTACAAAGTGCCATCAGAATGAGGAGACTCCCCAGGGAAGGCCTCACGGAGGAGGGGCCCGGGAGCTGAATCCTGAAGGCGGAGGGACGTCAGGAAGGGGCAAGGGTGTGTGCACGGGCCTGAGCTGGGGTCGCTGCAAAGCCAGGCTGAGTGTAGACAGGGTCGTGGGGCCGGGGCCAGGGCGCACAGCAGGTCAGGGGAGAGAAGGCAGGAATTGGGGTCCGGCAGACCAGGGAGAGCCTCCTCTGAGGCACAAGTGGGCAGTGAGGCCAAGTCGGGCCAGTGTCCCCCGGGCCCGTCCTGGGTCATGCCTGCGGAGTGCCGTGTGTACCCCCACACGGGGCTGATGTTTGTTGAGCGCTTGCCGTGTGCTGGGCTGGTCGGTGCAGTTGGGATGGCCAGTAGACAGATGGAAGACAGGCTCTGAGGGATTAAGCGGCTTGCTCGAGGTCGAGCAGCTTTTCAAACCCCATTCCGTCCCTCCGCTGCAGGGACCGTCCCCCACCTGGCCGGGACTGGGGCTCTCGGGGTCCAGAGATCGGGGCCGCGCGCCGCCCAGCTTCCCCTCGCTCCCAGGGGCGGCCCAACCCCGCGGGGCTCAGGCTCCCTTCCCACTTCCTCGAGCCGCCGGCCCCGTCCCAGGCGAAGGTGCGCCCGGGCCCCAGCTGGCTCGGGCCTGGGCCTGGTTCAGGTGCCCTCTGCCAGGCAGTGGCTGGCTCCACGCAGGGCCGTGACCTCGCTTGACGCCAGTTACCGGGGGCTCCCTCATACGGCAGCGAGAGCCCCAAGGGCCGGCGCAAGTCAGAGCTGCGGGGAGGAGATGGGGCAGCGCAGCCCTGCCCTTCGGAAGCCCTCACGGGGGCGACCTCATCCCTTCCCGCGGGCAGCACCGGGTCGTCCGTGGGGTGCCGGCTCTTGCTTTCCAGCACTGCCCAGTGGGCTGCTTCCTCCTCAGGAAGCCCCCGGTCTGATGGCTGGGGCCCGGGCCCGGGCAGTGCCCTGTCTGATGGAGGAGGAGGAGGAGGAGTGCTCGCGCCCCAGCGCCCGGCACTGGGCGGCATTAGCTTCTCCAGGGCCCGGGCCTCCCCAGCTGACGGATCCGCTCATTCCACCCCACTGATGGGGCCTCATGGAGGGGAGAGGTGCTCCAGGGGACCCCCTTCCTCCCCGGGGCGCAGGCCTCTTATCTCGCTGCAGGCGGGGGGTGGCCCGAAGGGATGAGCCCCACTTTACACCCATCCTTCCGCCTGACTTTGCGCAGGCTCAGTGGAGGTCTGCATCTAGGTTTCAGGCCCAGGCTCAGCCAAGAAAGGGGCACCGCCCTGGTCACTTGTCAGTTGTCCTTGTCCGGGAGGGATTCTCCCTCTGGACACTCATGGGGAGCAGGAGGCTGGGCCAGTCACCCCTAAAGAGCCCTCCCTTGGCGGTTCATATTTTAACTATTGAATGAGATGCCGGGTGCGCAAACGCCTCACACAGCGCCTGGTCCCAGTGTCCCCCCCCACCCCGAATCCTGGGGGGGCAGGAAAAGCTGGCTGGCGGGCAGGTGGCAATCTCCTACAAAGCAGAAGGAAGGGCCCAGCGTTCCCGTCCTCAGCATGTGGCCCCAGGCCCTCCCAGCCCGGGATTATTCAGCAAGCGTGAGACTTCTTAAGCCACAGCTTGGACATGGCCTTTAGTCCCCAAAGCTGAGAAAGGGGATCAGCCCACAGCTCACTCCCCTCCCCTCTTTACTTCTTCTGCTGTTGGACTTGGCTTTCACTGTTGCTGAATGGAGGGACCGCAGAGGCTGCTGGGTAGACAGCCACGTGCTGAGACCTAACTACCTGCCCCAACTTGCACACCCTAACCTGATCAGGTTAGTGTTAGCCCCGTGGTGGGGAGTGGGGATCGCCTGCTGCTGCAGCTGACTCCATTCACTTGAAAACTATTGATCAGTCCCCCAGCCCTGTGACAGCCCTGAGGACACAGCCACCCCCTGGGATCTCTGTGCCCGGCACATAGAAGTGCTCCGTAAAGATTATTTTTATTCATCAGCACTTCCCCACCCCCACCGCAGCATGGGCAGACTTCTGTCCTGCTCACCCAGTACACAGTAGGTGCTCAGTAGACGTTTGAGTGAGTGAATGCCCGAAACAACGTCCCTCAAGGAGCCCTCAATCTGGTGAAGGAGACCGGCGTGTCACTCACACACAACTACTGAATTTGTACACTCAACATGGGGGAAATGTATGGTGTATGAGATCTAGCTCAATAAAACTATTTGGAAAAAGATCAAATCAGAGATTTTAAGTTCGCATGGGAAGTTATGGGTATAAGAATATATTGCATCTTGCAACATTTCTACTAATTTATAGTCCTTACAAAATGACCCAAATGCCTAATATGCGTAAGACTGAAGGATTCTGTTCACTGGACCGGTTCAAAGATCTGTATGTATGTGACAATAGTCTGTTCATTCTCGGAAGCATTAATTGAGCATTTACACTGAAAAATTGCCCAAGAATGGGGCGCCTGGCTGGCTCAGTCGGTGGAGCGTGTGACTCAATCTTGGGGTCGTGATTTCAAGCCCCACATTGGGTGTAGAGATTACTTAAATAGAAACTTTAGGGATGGGGCGTCTGGGTGGCTCAGTCGGTTAAGCGTTTGCCTTCGGCTTAGGTCACGATCCCAGGATCATGGGATGGAGCCCTGAGAGACATGTGTTGGGCTCCCTAGTTAGCAAGGAGCTCGCTTCTTCCTCTTCTGTTGCTCGCGCTCTCTCTCTCAAATAAAATCTTTTTTAAAAAGTTGCATAAAAAAGGTAGAGAACAGTGGTAGGAGTGTGTGTCTATGAAGTAATATTTTTTTTAAAGATTTATTTGAGAGAGAGAAATAGAGCACTCGTGTGGGGGGAGGGGCAGAGGGAGAGGGACAAGCAGAAGGACAAGCAGACTCCGTTGCTGAGCGCAGAGTCTGATGCAGGGCTCAATCTCACAACCTCGAGATCATGACCCGAGCCGAAATCAAGTCGGGACGCTTCACCAACTGAGCCACCCAGGCGCCCCTAAAGTAATATTTTGAAAGACAGAAAATAATTTAAGAATGGAAAGTTAAAACATTAAAAATATTTGTACATTTCTATATATTTTAGAAACTTAATTTCTTTATGAGTTTATATAAAATAGTTAGTATTCTGAACTTCATTTTTTAAAAAAGTGGAGTGTTGGTGAGGCGAATTATAACCGAAGTTTTTGTGAAACAAAAATAGCACCAGCTCGTTTTAAAGAAATTACATTTAATAGATCATCTGCTTCCTAAGGGCAGAAGAGAGAATTGCAAACTCAGTGACAAAGCCCTCAGTCCAAATATTTGCAGTGAAGCTGGTAGGTTCTGGTTGAAGTAACAACCTGACAAGGTATGATTAAGTAATCTGGTTTTCCTTCTGAAGATTTTACAAATTTTAGTTATACTGAGAAAATGATGACGCAGTTTTACTTCTATGATAGGTAATTTTTAACATTTATTTAACTTACTGTTTGGAATGAGGGATCGGTTCTTTTTAAAAAATTGGAAGCTTTTGGGCACCTGGTCGGGGGGTGCTCAGTCGGTGAAGCGGCCGACTCTTGGTTTCAGCTCAGATCATGATCTCGAGGTCGTGGGATCGAGCCCCCCGCGTTGGGCTCCTGGCTCAGCGTGGACTCTAGTCCTTTCTCCCCGGCTCGTGCTCTCTCTTAAATAAATAAAATCTTAACATTTTGAAGTATTTGCTCTAAAGTTTCATCACCAAGAGAACAGGAGGAAAAGATGCTCTTCTGGAATTCTAAACCGGGCAGGAGGGGCCAGCCAGGGGTAGTGGGGCCAGCAGGTGGGGGTGCACATCCTGCCCCCTGCTTCCTGTGAAGTGGGGGTAGATGGGTCGGTGCCAGTGCCGGCCCCCAGGAGCCCTCTTTCCTTAGGGTTCGCTGGTTGCCAGGAGCGGAAGCCCACTCGCCAAGCCAGCAACGCACACAGCTGTCGGCAGGCTGTGCGGGGCTCACGGGGGAGGGAAAAGGTGAACCAGTGGCTTCTGGAAAGACAGAGGCCAAGTCGGCTCCGGGATCCCGGGAGTAGGAAACCTTCCCTGTGGGCATGAAACTCTCTCCTCTCAGTCTCTCCTGCGAGAACCGAACTGCCCTGCCAGGGGGAGGGCCCACGTGACTGCACTGGGAGTTGGTGGCACCAGGGAGACCCGGTCCGCAGTGCCCACGCCCCCCAGTGGCCACTCAATGATGCGAACAAATGACAGTATGGACACAGGGAATCTTGGAATCTGGGGCCCCAGAAGGACCTCAGCAAAGGCTCCAAGGGGCTGGCTTGTCAAAACCACAGCGAGGGGCCGGAAGGACCGTGGACAGCCCTGCTTGCCCACCTGAGCCCTCACGCGCTCGACCACCACCTGTCCCGGGGGTGCTGAGTGAGTGCAGAGCTCACCCCAGAGCCAGGGTGTGGGTCCGAGGGTGGGAATTCTGCACACACTGGGTGTTTGCAGAGACGAGAGGCCTGGGGAGGCCACACCCAGAGTGACGGAATGACATGGGGGGGGCCCTTAGCTCTCCAGGGGCACGTGGGGCTGGGGAGAATGGACTGGGGAGCCAAGTGGCAGCTCCGGGTCCCCCCAAGGGCCCCTCTTCTCCCCCGTCCACCGTGCGAGGCGCCGCCACCCTGGGGCCAGCCCTCACAGCCAAGGCCACAAACGCTTGCGAAGTGAGGCAGGCGAGAAAGAAGACAAGGCCAGTGCTAACTGCGTCCCAGTTTCTGTTCGTTTATTTTTTTGTTTTTGTTTTTGTTTTTTTTTTTTAAGTATGGAAGCTCAAGTATAAGATGTAGATTTTTCTTTAAGCTTTACAAAAAAAACAAAATAAAACAAAAAACTCCTTTTGCATTCCATAAAAATTGACAGAAAAGCACCTGGCCAGAAGAGCAGACGGTCAGCAGCCCCCCCCCCCCCGCGCCCCCACCACGTGGTCTCCGTGGGACAGGGTTCCGTCGGCGCAGGACAACGCGGGGGGGCCACCCCCTTTCTCACGGAGCTGTCCCCTGTCCCCCCAGCCCCAACCCCCAAGCAACTCCCAAACACACGTGGAATCAGATTTCCAGTTTTTCTTCTCTCTTTCACACACCAGTTAGTTCATAAAATTTTTTTGTTTTACATTTTTTACACCAATGTAACAAAAAGGTGGGAGGGAAGGGGAGGCAGACAGACAGTGTATTTTATGCCTATAAATGGGGGGGGGGCAGACGGGGGGCTGGGGCAAACGAAAACACACGGTCTCTGTGGAAATATGGAGAGTTCTGATAGCAAAACGTGGTGGGAACGAGGCCTCAGAGACGGAGGATGTTTACTGGGCTTTATTCTCAGGGAGAGATGGCGCCGTGCGGCCTGGTGAAGCCAGTGTTACGGGACCGGTGGGGAGGCGAGGGGCGAGGGAAGGGAGCAGAAGACGAGTTCTCTAAGAAAGGAATCTAACGAGCGCGTGGCGTGTCCAGGGAGCGTGGAGCCGAGCTCTAACACTGCTGCTTTCTCTTCAAGGCCTCCACCAGGTCGTTCTTAAGAGCTTCTTGCTTTGATTTGTCTGCGAAAGTCTGCACAGACCTGCCAGGGAGGAAAGGAGTCGATCAGTCTGTGTCACGGGAGGGGGGCGGCGGCGAGGGCCAGGGCGCCGCGGGGCTGGTGCCTGGCTGGGTCCCGCTGCCTCCCTGGGTCCCGGGCTGGGCACCCCCACGAGCGGCGCCGAGGCCCACAGCGCCCGAGACCCGGCCCCTCGGCCCCTCACCAGGCACCACAGGGGAGGCGCACGGCCCACCTGGGCAGGTGCTCACCTCTGCACTGGGGGAGGGGGGGCGGGGAGGGCTGGTTGGAGCCAACAGAACCCTAATCCACTCCTCTGGGGCCTGAAGCAGGTGGTGGCTCCTGGGCTTCCCCCTCACTGCACCCCTGCCCAGCAGAGGTGGCCCACCGCTCACCCCCCAAGTGCAGGGTGCAGAGGGACCCCACTCAGCGAACGTTTAAGACCCTCTGGACAGCTGAGCAGACTGGGTTCACATCCAGGGCAGTGCCTGAAGGGCAGGCGCTTTGAGTCTTCTGCCATGCGACACCATCAGCTGTGAACTTGGCCGAGAAACTCCCTCGGCCTGGATTTCAAGAGGCAGTATGGGACTCAGATAAGAGGCCCTGGGTCCCTGCCGTCAAATCCTGGGTCTGTGGGGACACGCTGCCGTGCGTGCACTTGTGCCCAGGCATGAACACTCCTCAGCGCAGCGAGCAGCCACCGAGCTCCGCAGAGGCCAGTTTACAAGGTGCTTCCCGCACATTTCTCCTCTCCCTCTCTCAGCATCCCGGAGGGGGTCTTACCGGTGTCCCCAGTTCTCAGACGAGGACACAGAGGCTCAGGGAAATGCCCCCTGACAATGGCCGAATGGTCACTCTGTCAAACTGACCATTATGTCGACCAACCAAGGACTTACTAAACTACTCATAAACTTTCCAACAGTTCCGAAGCAGCGGACAGAAGGGGTGAGGGCTGCCTGGCAGGAAAGCTGTGGACACCAGGCCCCACGGGAATCCCCAGCTCCACGTGCATCGGCCATGAAGAAGGATGGTAAGGAGGAGCCAAAACATAATCCTCAACTTCCCCAAATGGGTAAAGTAACAGGAAGCAGTACGCAGAAGAACATCCCGAGTTCTGGCTACTGAATCCCAGAAACCTCATGGGAAGTGGCCTCCCAACGTTCTGAGGGGGGTGCAGACAAGACCATCCCTGAGCCACTAGAAACTCTCACAAGTGCCGTCCTTTCTGGTTGAACATTTCTGAACACCTGCCCCGGTGGCCCTTGGCTTCCATCCTTCGCCAGTCCACCACTTGCTTCTGAAAAAGTTCCCGGCGGGAGACTGCCCGGCCTGCAAGGGTGCTGGCTCTTCTGGGAAGGAGGAGCCGAGCACAGCTGTGCTCAGCCCTCAACCCCCACAAGGGAGAAAGTTCCCGAGTTAGAACCAGAGTGAGAATCAGGTAAGAGATGGGAGACTGGGCTTAGAATGACTTGGAGGTATAAGGACCGAGACACTCATTTAGGGGACAGAGTTTGGAAAGGTCACTGCCAAGCCATGTCAAACCAGTGTGGGAAGGAAGACACGTCCTGGACCCCTGGAGTGCCAGCTCCCCACTGCTGTGTGTATGGGGGGGTGGTTTATGCCGGAAAGTCTCCAATGGTGGCCACGGGACAGGGATCTAGAAGACTTCAGGACCCCCCTCTCCCCAAAAAGCGGAGGGGCTGGGAGGAAAACTGCACTATCGTGGCATGCCTTAAAAAGGAGGTTTTCTCCCACTGTGATGGGAATGTGATGGTCCCAGTGTGAGGCCAGACAGACGTGCTGAAGTCCCATGAATGCAGAGTAGCTGGGCAGCCTGGTTCCATGAATGCCCCCACCCCACCCCGCCCCAGAAATCCTGCTGAGCCTCTTCCGGGTCAGGCCCCCAGGGGCCAGTCCCTGGGCCTGGGCATAAATCCCTTAGCCCTGGGCTCTGCAGCCCTGCCCTGCCAGCTCTCCAAGCGCCTTCGATTAAAAATAGTTTCCCTCCCCTCCTGGGACACTGACCGCTTTCATACACATGTATCTGTCCACACTCAAGTTGCGGTTCTTGGCTGTTTTCAACAAGCAAGACTATTTCCCTTCCGTCAGCGTGAGGCGTTTAAGAGAACGGCCGCAGCGTGTTAGGGGCAGAAGGTTATGCGGGTCCAAGCAGCAAGCCCGGCCAGGGGGATTTCAGCCTCTGCTCTGTGCTCTAGCCTCGGGCTCGGGGCGATACACCCCTTTCAAAAGTCATGGCCCCCAACAGTCCATTTGCCACCAAGAAGGCTTCTGTGGCCTCTGGGATGCTCGGGGGGGTGGGGGAAGCCCCGGCCACACAGACAGTGGACTCCGAGAGGCTGCCCGGGGGCAGTGGCCACGAGGAAGGCCGGGCACACAGCCCAGCGGTGCAGACAAGCGGCTTCTGCTGGAGAGGCAGGGTTAATCCCCAGACCGGGCTTCTTCCAGAGCCAGAGCCAGAGCCAAACCCTCTCTCTGCCCCACACCCAACCCTGCCCGGAGTGCAAGACACACAGAGCACACACGTGACACGGGTCTGTGTTACACGGGGCCGAAGGGACACGTTAACGTGGCCGCCCACAGCCGTGAGCCGGCACACGGGGTTAGTGGTGGTTTAAAGGGCCGCGTGGCCACGGCTGGTCCAGGGGTGGCGGCGGGTTGGTGAGTCCTGTTTAGTGGGGAGGGTGCTCACGCCTCTCAGGCAGGGTATCTGCGTCGGCTTAGTTATCAGGCTGGATGTGGATCTGGCGCTGGGTCAGCACTTGGGAAAGTTCCCTCTGCAGCTGCTGAAACTTGGGGTGGTCGGGGATTACGTCAACAGATCTACAGAGAGTGGTCAGAGATGAGTGCGGCGGGAGGGGGGCGACACACCGAGGAGCAGGTGGCCGCTGGAGACGCGGGGAGGGAGCAGTGTCGTCAGGGCCCCTGCACTCGGGGGCAGCGGCACAGAGCGGGGAGCCACAGAGCTCGATGCTGGAGGCGCTCACAGCCGCCGCCCCCCTGCGCGAGTGCTAGCGGAGGACAAGGCGCTGGCCCCACGTGACCAGACGACAGCGATGTTGCCAGAGCCGGGGAATAAAACCCACCAGGGGCCAGACCGAGTTCCCCACGGGCGGGTGGGAAATTGGAAAGATGAAGATCCAGAGGGGGCTCCTCGCTATTTTAAACTGTAAGAAGAAGGCTAGAAATCTGTCTCCTGGGGGAATTTACAAGTCAGGGGAGCCCCCAGAGCGGCTCCCTGCCTCTGCTTTTGGCCCACGAGGAGAACGACCCATGGAATGGGGGCTCAGGGGGCTGGAGGCTGAGGGTGGAGCACCAGACCTTGGCCTCACAGAGTGGTCGGGCAGACACTATCCCATCTGACCCCTGCCTCCCTGACTGGATGAGGGCCACAGACAGGAGCCCCTGGCCAAAGCTCGTGCAGCTCAGGCGGGCAGCACCCGTGCGAACTCCCTTGTTTTCTGACTCCACGGCCAGGGCTCATCCCACAGCCACCTCTCCTGCCCCCTGAGGGGGCTCTGGCCTCCTGCTCTGTACCCCCGTGGACTCTGAAGAGCCAGAGAGCCCTTCTCAGCCTTCATTTGGGCCAACACTGCAGAACCGAGAGCACAAGATGGGTGGGGAGGGGCAGCTGGGGACCATGGCCATGGCCACCAGACGAACGAACCGGGGGCTGCAGAGGGGAACAGGCCGCCCGAGGGGCTGCCATCCTTCACGTGCTGTGAGGCCCAGGCAGATGCTTTAGATGGGAATGGCCCGGTGGGGGACGGAAAGGAGGGGGCTCCAGGGACGAGGGCACCAATGGCTGTCCAAGTGAGCGTCCCCCAGAAAACAAGAACAGCAGGGCAGGAACCAGCGTCTATGCAGGAGCTGTGTGACCTTTCAGAATCTGCAGTAACGATCCCACAAGGTGGGTACTTTAGCCAGGGGCACCGATGAGGAACCTGAGGTGCCCTGTGACTCTCACGCTGCACACCTAGGATTCAAATCTGTATCTTCTGGTTCCGAAGCTCAGCCTTTGGGGTACATTACCTCAGCCCATTGACGATGTCCTTTGTTTTTCCAAAGTAGATCTCATTCAGCGTACTTCTGATTTTATTTTCCATGTCCTGAGAAGGGAGATCAGTCAGGATGACAAACAGGAGGCCCGAGGCCCACAACCTCCCGTCCCACCAGCCCACCCCTGCAGTCCCCGCCGTGACCACAGGGGGGAGGCGCAGGACCGCGCCAAAGCCCAGTGAGCCAGTCCCCACGGCCGACACCCCCTCCTACAATTTGCCTTCTGAGCGCTTCCCAGGCTTCAGGCACTGGGAAGCCAATACTCAGGGACTGGTGGCCAATGCTGACCATGATGGGAGCCGGTCTAAACCACATCACCACCCACCCCGCTGTTCCCCCACCAATTTCGGGCACAATCCTGTGAAGCCCGAGAGCACAGCACCCCTTCTTCCAAAGAGCGTGGCAAAGGGAAGGCAGAGGCAGCTGCAAACAGCCCATGGCCTTGTAGGGGTGCTTCCCTCCTGAGCTCAGGCCTCTGCTGGCACCCCGTGGGCTGGGGGAGCAGGCTTCCGGGAGCACGCACTGGGGGGGGGCAGGAGAGGGGGCGGCCTGGGAGCTGAGCCCTGCTTGCATGCCCATCAGAAGGCTCAGAGCACGAGCCCGGGGCAACAGGGCAAAACCCAAGAAACATGACAGAGGCGATGCAGGACCGGCATGTGCTGCGGGAGCCGCCCCGAGCCCAGAGCCCCAAGCCCCACTCACCTCTACCAGGCGCCCGATATTGGCTATGTGCGGGGAGCAGTCACTCACGGTCTCATCCTTCTCCATCTGCCAAAGAGAAGGATGCTCCCCCACGTCAGAGGGCCGGGCGCTCAGCGCGAACGGCAGCCCCTGCCCCCAGCTTGGTGCTCCCGCCGCCAGCTGTGCAGCCAGCTGCAGGTGGTACAAGACCGCCTGGCCAGCAGGGGACCCCAGCACGCAGGGACCGCAGCTGTAGGGCCCAAACCGCTCAGCCGGGAGAGGCCCAGAGGCCCCGTTCCCCGAGGAGGGTCTCCTGCTGCCCTGAGCGGAGCACGCCCCTGCCAGCCCCAAGGCCGCAGCGGGGAGGGCAAAGGGGACCACCCTGGCCAGGCACTGGCTCGGGCTGTCCACCCCCCATACTGCAGGGGGGCGTCCACTGTGCCCCAGCTGCCCTGCGATCCCGACACGGGGGCCTGAGGCTCAGACGGGAGGTGCCGCAGGCAGTGCGGGCAGAACCCGGACCAGAGCCTTCTCACCGCGCAGCCTGCACGGCTGGTCGCGTGGCCGGGGGCGGTTTGAGCAAGAGAATCTGAACCCAGATTCCTAGACTGTGACCGAGGGGAACCCAGCAATCCGAGCCTCGGGCAGGGTCGTAACTGTTAAAGTTCTGGTCGAGTTTTACTGAAAGTATTAAAAGGAGGTGGCAGGTGGGGCGGGGTAGAGGGACAGAGGACTCCTGACCTGCACCCTTACGCAGGAGGCGCGGACCCCCCGCCTCTCCCTCTGCATCAGGCTCATTTCCCTCACGAGAGGGTCGATCCCTTAAGGAGAGGTTCCGCTGTCCACACCCTGCAGGGTGCCCAGGAGAGTGGTGAGCGCACAAATACTCGCTGTTTCAGAATGGAACTGTGGTTGAAATGAAACATGGACGCTGGAACAGGTCATCGTGAGACAGGATGAAAAGCTAGGAACGCGGTATCGGGACAGCCAGAGCTCAGGACGTGAGACACGTAGAGAAAGCACGGGTGAGGCAGGGAGGTGAATGGGCTTCAGAGGCTGGAGACCTGGGCGGCTGCTCGGGGAGCGCGGCAGTGGCCCAGAGGTCAAAGGCTTTGCTGCCACTTCTTCATCAGGGAGAACGACCGTCAGGCCACAAACGGTAGAAAAGACCCAGTTAAGAGCGAGATGAGGCCCCAAATGGGCGAGCAGATGGTAGGAGAGACCCAAGTCACTTCCACAAGTCCGATTCCGTGGGGCAGTCAGCCATCCCTGAAAAGTGACTGCGTGCTCAGGAGGAGCCCGAACGCCTGAAGAGGGCGGGGGCTGACCCCACTTTCACGAAACAAGGAAGATGAGAATCGGAAATTAAACATGAATCTGACAGTGAGCCACACAAGTTTTGATGGGACTGTTTAAAACTCATCTGTTGGCACATCTAAAATCAGCTATCTCTAATCTAGGAATCCACATGGGCTCATCGTGAATAAGTTCCACGAGAACCCCTAATTTCCTATTCTGATGGGGATGCTGGGAGCAGAGAACTCCTCTAGGGGTTCTCCACACACCACTGGCAGGTTCCCACCAAATCCCCTGTGGCCATGACCGGGGTGCCGGGTTCCCGGGGCGGCCTCTTTGGCATCCTGCAGGCTTCCTGCGGCCCCGAGCCAGCCCGTGTGGGACTTAAGAGAAGGCACAGCCGTGAGCCTTCTCAGCATCCTGGTGACAGCAGCGAGGGTCCAGACGATCAGAGCCCAGGAACGTGGGCTGCTGCGGAGCACACGGCCAAGTGCACGGTCGCCTGTTCTACTCAGCCTCTAGAAGAACTCTGTTTTCAACCCAAGGACATGGAGGCTCAAAGACGTCCTCTGCCCAGATCACGGCACATTTGCTCTTCCTGCCTCAGGTGGCTGGGGCGAGTGCAAATCACACTCCGGGGCTCAAACATGAAGCTCACCGAGTACAAAACAGGAACCAAGTCCTGTGAAGACACGCGTGGTTCTGAAGAGAATGTGACGTGCAGCCCCAACAGCTTTCACACTTCAGGGACAGGACCGCTTACCGGTGCCCAGCAGGGGGCAGCGTTCCCACCCGGTCCCACCAGTGGCAGGGCTCAGGAAGGTGCCAGCTCCTCTGCTCCGCCCCGCCCAGCCACATCTGCAGGGCTGGATTCTCTTTAGGTGCCGGGTTGGAAGAGGCCCATGACCCCAAGACATGGGCAAGAACGGGGTATGTGCCCTGCTCCCGGCACCCTTGGGCCAACGTTCCCGGGAAGGCTCGATCCTCAGGGACGACCCGGGTCCCTACAAAACAGCAGTGAGAGTGCTCCTGAACTTAGAAGGGATAGCTACTCCCCATCACTTCAGGTTTCCTAAATACCCACCCTGGGCCATCCCACAGTATTTGTTGGAACCTCTGCCCTTGGCCAACCCCTGCTGCCAAGACGACCGGGGTGTGTGCATGCTGGAGAGAAGCTGGGAGCACACTTAGGAGGAAGGATGTGCGCCACCTACCCTTTTTTTTTTAAGATTCTATTTATTTGAGAGCGAGACAGAGATAGCGCGTGAGAACACTGAGCGGGGAGGAGAGGGAGAAGCAGGCTCCCCGCCGAGCAGGGAGCCCGATGCGGGGCTCGATCCCGGGACTCCAGGATCATGACCTGAGCCGAAGGCAGACGCTTAACGACTGAGCCACCCAGGCGCCCCCGCCATCTATCCATTTTTAAAAGGGATCTTTGGACACCAATACACTCGGACTGTGTGCTCTTTCCCCCCACGTGGAAATGGTTCCTGTGCCCAGACGGAGGTCAGCTCAGAGAGTCGCTCTTCTGGGCAGGGAGAAGCCGGTGGGGGGGTGGGGGGTGGTCTGACCCAGACGAATCCTGTCCTCCCACAACGAGCAGTCTCCCGTCTTCCCCAGCTCAGTGCAGGGGGCAGGCTCCTGGCAACCTCAGGGAAGCGACGAGGCTCTGAGCTCATGGAGGGCCCATTTTATTTTACTTTTCGTTTATTTTTTAAAGATTTATCTGAGAGAGAGTGAGAGCATACACACACGAGTGGGAAGGGCAGAGGCAGAGGGAGACAGAATCCCAAGCAGACTCTGTGCTGAGTGCAGAGCCCGCCATGGGGCTTGATCCCACGACCCTGAGATCACCACATGAACCAAAACCAGGAGTCGGACGCTTGACTGACTAGGCCAACCAGGCGCCCCACCGAGGGCCCCATTGTAAATGAGTACTCAACAGCCCAAAGTGAGGCCCAGGCTGCTGGCAAAGGGGTCTGGGCCATCAGGGTAAGTAAAATCACATCAGCAATCCAACCTCATGGAAATCATCTTTGTGCTCCAGAATCAACCTTCCAATGAATCGAAGTGGTGAAACCACCGAAGAGGTCTGGGGTGGGTGTGGGGGCAGGTAGGGGGGAAAGTGAGGAGGCCTGGTCTCCTCTAGAAGACGGACTCGCCGGGAGGGCAGCAGGGGTCCCTAAGCTCATGGCAGAGAATCTGAACCCAAGGGAAAGCCTGGCAGGGACCGGGGAAGGGAAGGAAGACATGGGCAGGGGTGCGGGCCAAGGCCTTGGCACACACCGACGTTTCCACGGCCCCCTTGCCCACACCCCTGCTGGCTCCCTCCACACCTGGTCAGGGTCAGCTTGCTGGAAATGCTGACCCACCAAAAATAGGCCTATTTTTGTAATGCATATATTATTACATCCTTATAAAAGTGGCTGCCAGACGAAAACATTTTTAGGGCTGTGACCACACAGATGTTCCACAACGTGGTTCCAACCAAGTCTGAAGTCAGAGCCCAGCCCGCCCAGCCCCACCAAGCACCTCTCCTCCTCTCTGTGGCCTGGAGATGGAAGGACACGGCAAGTGTTTGGAAAGCAGGCCGTCCTCCTCAGAAGCGGGGTACAGTCTCCCCGGCTGCTCTGCAGCATCTTCCAATAGGCACGGCCCCGGGGGGGTGGGGGGCGCTGGGGGAAGCCAGCCCTTACTCCATGGCTCCTACTCTGGATGGAGCCCAAGGCCTGAGGGCCTCGGCCTTCTGCTGCATGAGCTACCACTCACATGATGCCCAGGACGGGACCTGGCAGAATGGCAGCTCCATCCCTGGGGTTCCTCCAGTCCTGTCCTCCCGGTTACTGACCTGTGCTCTGGGGAAGAGCTGGGCTGGAGGCCAGGACTTAACTTGCTGTCAAGTCAGAAGACAGTGGTCAGAGAGCCTCTCAAGGAAGGTTCGGTTTGCCCAGATGAGGGAAATTTTTTTTTTTTTTTAAAGATTTTATTTATTTATTTGAGAGAGAGGGAATGAGAGAGAACACATGAGAGGGGATAGGGTCAGAGGGCAAAGCAGGCTCCTCGCTGAGCAGGGAGCCCGATGCAGGACTCGATCCAGGGATTCCAGGATCATGACCTGAGCCGAAGGCAGTCGCTTAACCAACTGAGCCACCCAGGTGCCCCCAGATGAGGGAAATTTTAATTGAGCCTAAAACTACATATATTCTAGAAGACGAAAAAGTCTCTGCTTGCAAGGTATGTGGTAGCAGCAGAAACAGCTATTACTTATTGAGCACAGACCATGAGTCCAAGTGGTTTTTTAATTTCTACTCTACAAGAGCATCTCCGAACAGGCACTATTAGCTTGACGGTGAAAATGCTGAGTTTCGGAGAAGGGAAGTGAACTGTCTGGGAAGGGAGTAGGCTAAGACTGAGCCAGGTCTGGATAATTCTGAAACTTGTGTTCAGACCTCTCTGTTTGCTCACATTCATGCACATTCTTTACCGGAAAAATCAAAAACAAACCACAATCCAGGGCTCGGAAATTCCGAGCAGTATCCATCCCCGCCTCAGCCCCCTCCCTTCCCCTCAGATGTCCAGTCCCTTCCCCTCAGACAGTGGCCTGACTGTCCCTAGAAGCCCCGATGCTGAAGCCCCTCCACCTTCATCCCTAGTCCAGGCTACCTCCCAAAACACCAGGAGCTGGCTGCAGCTGGGCCTCCCCCAGCGAGAAAGCATGCCCTGAGCCGTAGGCCCCACTCCCCTACATCCGGCAGAGGGCCACAGGCCATCCCCCCACTTCTAGAACGCAC